GTGTGGTTTTGTTGTGTTTTTAGTACATTCTATGTATCTGTGTTTCATTGACTATGCAAAGGCATTTGACTGTGTGGATCATCAAACTGTGGCTGACTCTGAGAAGAATGGGAATCCCAGAACACTTGATCGTTCTAATGCGAAACCTATACTTGGACCAGGAGGCAGTCATCAGAACAGAGCAAGAGAACACTGCATGGTTCAAAATTGGGAAGGGCATACGCCAGGGATGCATCCTATCTCCATACCTTTTCAACCTATATGCAGAACAGATTATCTGGGAGGCTGGGCTCTATGAGGAGAAATGTGGGGTCAAGATTGGTGGACAATTTATCAACAATCTTCATTATGCAGATGACAGACACAACCCTGCTTGCTGAAACTGAAGAGGACCAGAAGCACCTGCTGCAGAGTGTCAAGGACTGCAGCCTCCAATATGGATTGAGGCTCAATGTAAAGAAGACAAAGATTCTCACCACTGGACCAATTGGCAGCATCAGAATGGATGGTGAAGAGATTGAGATTGTACATAGCTTTAGTTTGCTTGGCTCCAGTCAACACTCTTAGCACCAGTAGCCAGGAAATTAAAAGGCTCATTGCCATGGGAAAGTTTGCTGTTAGGGACCTCTCTAAAGTACTGAAGAGCAGTGGTGTCTCTCTGGAGACTAAGGTGCATCTGATACAGGCTATGGTCTTCGCAATCACTTGTTATGCATCAGAGAGTTGGACAATGACTAAGGAGGATAGAAGGAGAATTGATGCCTTTGAGCTGTGGTGCTGGAGAAGAGTGTTGAGAATACCATGGACTGCTAGGAAAACAAACAGATTCATCCTGGAAAGGGTTAAACCGGGTGGCTCCTTGGAGGCAAGGATTCTGAGGCTCCGTCTAACAAACTTTGGACATGTTGTGAGGAGAGACTGGTCCTTGGAGAAGGGCATCATGCTTGGGAGGGTGGAGGGACAACGCAGGAGGGGAAGGCCCTCTATGAGGTGGATTGATTCAGTGACTGGGATAATCGGGATGGGAGTGTCAGAGACAGTGGGACTGACACAGGACAGAGCAGAGTTAGGGCTGTTGTACATAGGGTCACTATGAGTTGCAAGCTACTCGACGGCACATAACAACAACAACAACAACAACAACAACAATGTATTAGGTGATTCTGAGATGCAAACAGCAATTGAAAATGCTTGTTGTCAAGGAGATTACCCTGTAGTAGAATCGTGATTGTGGAAGGAGGAGTGGCATCCACTTCCATAATAGCTTGCCTGCGGAAACCCTATGAACCTGGAGAGAGGACGAAAGGCACTAAAGCATTGAGGACTCTCCTTAATAGGGTCGCTATGAGTCGCCTGCGACTCCACGGCACTTAACAACAACAACAACAACAGAATCGTGATTAAGATACATAGATGAACAATTGCAAGACCATAAGGGACAGACTTAATAAAATTAGACGGGTCTCAAAGGAGGCAGTACTTGGATTCAAATTTAAGGATAACAAGATTTCTGCTGGGACTGAATCTTAAAAAGGCAGGAGGGTACTCTGGAGAGCTCTGCTGGTGTAGTTCACAGGGTGTTACACTGCTAACACAAGGCAGTGTCTCTCGGACGGTTTGAATCTACTGGGCTTGTCAGGAGAAAGATAGATTGTCTCCTCCTATGACAATTTAAACCCTGGGAGCTCAATGGAGGGTTAGCTAGGAGTTGGAACTGAGTCTGTGGAATTTGAGTTTTAATTTGATGAACACAAAGATCCAGAGTGGTTCAAGTAATGGTTTTCTTTGGCTACTAAAAGCTTAGCAGTTCAAATCCACCTGGTGATGTCACAGAAGAAAGAGATGGTGACCTACCTGTGATAAATATCACAGACAAGAAAACTGTATGGAGCCCAGCTCCAGTCTGTGATGCCTGGGGTTACCATGGGAATCAAATTAACCACAATGGTTTGGGTTTGGTTATGAGCAAAAAGGAGATAAATTAGTTTTCTACACTGTTGGTCAAGTAAAGACTTAGAATCATGACTAAAGAGTTGAGACAAATGTTAGAGATTATTGGTCCAATTGCCTATTTAACCCAGGAATCCTTTTTTCTTGAAGAACTCAGGAGGTGATGAGTTAGAGATATTGGCAGGGCACTGTGGCCCACAGTAAAGCACACTGAATTTAATCTACAGCCCTGGTTTCCACCTTGTTTCTGCTAGTAACTCATTGGAGCTTTATCAAGTTCTTCAGCCTCTCTGTGGATTGGTTTCCTTCTCTGTCCTAAAGTTATTATACACTGGAGTTTCAGTGGCCTCATCCACTGCTAAGCCAAAGGCCACACCTTTTTTTGGCATTTGGAACTCACCTGAGTTTCTGTGGGGGAAAGATGATAATTCCCTTCTGTGCGATTTATTAAGTTTGGAAAACCCACTGGAGGCTCAGCTGTGAGTCCTTCAACTCAATAATAATTAATGAGTTCAAAACAACTATGAGAAATCATCTCAGCCCAGTAACAATAGCAAAATTCAACAGATCAGCAAACAACAAATGCTGGCAAGGTTGTGAAGAAACTGGTTGGTGGGAGTGTAACATTGTGCAACCACTATGGAAGGCAGTATGGCACTTTCTCAAAAAGTTGGAAATAGAAATACCATTTGACCCAGCAATTCCACTACTGGGAATATAACCCAAAGAAATCAGAACTGCCATCCAAACAGACATTTGCACACCTATGTTTATTGCTGTGTTGTTCACAATAGCAAAGAGATGGAAGTAACTCAAGTGTCCATCAGCAAATGAACAGATTGAGAAGCTGTGGTCTATTCACATAATGGAATACTATGCAACACTGAAAAACGAGGAACTCTTAAATATTATACAAAATGGGTAACCCTGGAGGACATTATGCTGAGTGAAATATCTCAGTCGCAAAAGGACAAATACTGCATGATGCCACTGTTATCAAACAGGACTGACAAGAAGGTTGGGGGAAAATTAAGAAAAGATGGATAAATAACATGCACTGCATTGAAAGAGATGAAGGAAAGAACTATTTAAAAGAAATATATGATTAGATATTATTTGCATGATAACAGTCCAGAATAAAAGCTGCATAGTAAAGTGGACAGGTGGCGGAGTGGGGAGGAAATTGTGCAACAATGAAAGAAATTTTTTTTCAAAGAGAAAAGTGAACTGGGGATCGGGATAGGGAGAAAATGTGCAACAATGAATGAATGGAAATCCAAGTTCTCTATAAATGTTCATTAAAATATCAATTAAAATTTAAAAATCATAACAAAAAAACCCCACAAGGAATGGGTTATGATTAACGTGTAAATTCTGAATATACATTAGAAATTCCACAGTTATCTTCTAACTTTTCTAACTCCTACTCTTTCAAGACTTGGCTCAGGGTGGGCTGCTCTGGAAAGCTGTGCACTGTCATTCACTCTACCTTCACACTGCACAGTTTGTAGGTCTTCTCCTCACTGCTGCCTGAGTGGGAATGACAGATCTCTGTAATCCCAGAACTGGGCAGAACACATCAAGTATACAGTAGTGCCATGGTTACAGGCACTGACCTTGAAAAGCAGACCATTAGAAGTTGGAAAAACCTGATTCTTCTGCTTACTCAGTTCTCTTAGTTCTCTAGTGCTGGTGAGACTTTGTCTGCCTTTACAGAATAGACATTTTCCCCTCCTTACAGTTTTGAAGGCTAAAAGTCCACATCAGGGTCTTGTTTGTTATGTGCCATTGAGTTGGAATGACCCATAACTAACCCTCCAGCAGGTTTTCAAAGGCAGTTAATCACATGTGAGAAGATTGCTCATCCTCTCCCTTGGAGTGGCTGGTGGATTAGAACAGTGTGCCTTTTCAGTGCAGCTTCTTATGATTAGGCCACCAGAGCTTTCTAATCAGAGTCTTAGTTATGCCAAATTCTTCCGTGTCAGTAGGTCAAGACACTCTTCGTTTCCTTGAACTATAGATATGATTCACATCGTGAATATCTTTCCCTGTGTGCATCTCCGCATCTAGCAGGATGTTTCTGTGACTCAGAAATGATTAGGTTTTGCATCAACCCTAGAGAAGTGCATTATGCTTGGTAAAGCAGGTCAGTGAAAAGAGAAGACACTTAGCGAGATGGATTTACAGGTGGCAACAAGGAGCTCAAAACCAGCAACAATTGTGAGGATGGCTCAGGCATCTAGGAACAACTAGACTGATATGACACTACTAATATAACAAAAGAAAAATCAAACAAGGTTTCATTCACTGGAATCCGACATATATTATGAGTGGCACAAATGAATCCATAATCTCAGCTTTGTGGCTTTGGGCAAGAAGATCCTTGACCTCGTCTCTGGGCCTCTCAGTCTTTTCAAATCTGCAACTCTTCATGGCTGTCTGTTGCAACCGACTCATAGCTGACCCTCCAGCAGGTTTTCAGAAGCAGTAAACCCCATGGGAGAAGACTGCCCATCCTTCTTCCATGGAGCAGCACGTGGATTTGAACCGCGTGCCTTTGGGATTGCAGCGCACACAGCTTCTTACCACTAAGTCAAGGGGAGTTCATGCATTTCAAAGCTTTTTTTATTCCATTAACTGGCATATACAAAGAATTCTGAGTGTTAACTCATTAATGTGAAGTTCTCGGTGTACGTTTGTTGCATTAAAAAAGAAGAAAAAAAGTATCTAAAATTAAGAAAAGGAGCCCTGGTGGCACAGTGCTCAGCTGCTACCAAATGAATGTCCAAATCCAAGCAGCCAGATCAGTTAAAGAACAAGTCAGAGATCTGCTCTCATAAAGATTACATGTTCGAATCAACTGCACAAACAAATAAAGCTGTAAACAAAGGAGTTTTTTGTTTGTTGGTTTTTTTCCCCCCAAAGAAAACTGCTGATGTAGTAACTCTGCCCTTAGCTCCAGAGTCTCAACTGCAGTGGTGGGCGGAGCCTGGCCTCTGTGCGCAGAGGGGCGGAGCCGACGCCCGGGTCACATGGGGCGCAGGGGCGGGTTCTTACGTGCGCTGGTCACGGGGCCGGTGTTGACACTTCCGGGTGGGACCAAAGTGAGGCGGCGGGGCAGGGGCTGGCATCTAGGGCGGCAGTGATGGCGTACAGCGGTCTCACCGTGCCTCTCATAGTGATGAGCGTGTTCTGGGGCTTCGTGGGCTTCTTAGTGCCCTGGTTCATCCCTAAGGGTCCTAACCGGGGGTAAGTGCGAGAGGGCCGCCGTGCGAGGGACGCGCGCGGAGGCTGGCTTGAGTCCAGGCGGGGGAGGGGACGAGACCCGCACTTGCCCCAGAGTCTCAAGAGCCCACCCCTCAGAGTCAGTCCCTCCAGCTCGTCAAGCCCTCCAGACTTTCTTATTGCACCAAGTTTTTTGCCTGGAGGGGAGGGGTCCGTTTTTTGGAAATGAGTTTTAGAGGAATGTTTTTCTCAAACCCCTGAGTCAGAGGAGCATGCAGTTGAAAATGGTTTTATACCGATTCAAAGAGACGCTTAGGTACGTCCCTAGTCGACTTTCTTCCCTTTGACCCTGCTTTTCATCCAAATGTGACCTCGTCTAAGTACACTTTAAAAAAAGGGACCAAATAGGTTAAAAAAAAAAGAGAGAGAAATCACTGTGTCTGCAGCTCTTGCTTATAGGACGAGCTTTGAGCTCAGGTCTTACATCTAGTGGGCGCTTGGAGGCAGCTGGGGCCTGTTCTAAAGCTAAATTAATTACCAGAATAGGAGCTATTGTTTAGGAGTCCCTGCGTCATGCCTTTTGGAGGGTACTCTGCTCTTGTGTGAAGGTAACAAGTTCTTGGAATGACTGGTAAAGAAAAATTTTGTCTAGCTGTCTTTGTTTTTTATAGCTTTTCTTGCAAGTAAGTTTTTGGGTTGTTTTTTTTTTTTAATTGTATAGTTAAATAGAATCTAATCTTCAAGGGACCCTTGGTTCACTCTTTCTGGTTCCTCTTTTCTTTTTAGTCATTTTTTCTCAGTCCAAGATCATGTGAGGTTGAAACTTAGACTGGTCACATTTTGTCAGAAACATCATCGCTTGTTTTATTCTTTGACATTAATTGGAGTGTTCAAGGAGTTCAGTAAACATCTATGGAATGGTTAAGTCTGGTCTGTTTATTAAAGGAAAGAAAATGGTACTACTTCTTTGAGGTTTTTTTTTACCTGGCCCCTTTTGCTTCCTAGTTTAAACTTTGTAACTTCTGTCTAGCCTAAAAAAGACATAATTTGTTTTGGGAAATAAAGTAATAATAGCTGGTGAGTTTCTATAGTTTAGAAGCTTTGAGTCCTCTTTTCCTTACCACTCCTACATCATGTAGCCTTGTTTCCTAAGGTCCTCCCGCCAACCTAAAGTTAGTGCAGAGTAGAGTGCCAGGATTATGGGATCAAAGCAATTCATATTAATCAAATTTACTTTCTAAGCTTTGTTTCTCCTCCTGGAGTTCGAAAACATCAGTGTGTTACTTTCCTTTCAACTCTTATTATTGTCTACTTTTCCATCCTTCTGTGCAGGAAAGCCTTTATATCCTGGCAGCTCTGTTTAATCTAATCCTTCCCAACTCCCTGTTGGGCCCCACATGTCCAGTCTTGGGACCTTAGTTCTTGTCCAGGGTAATGAAACCCCACCTTTCTTCATACCTGGCCTGCAGCTGCTCACTTTCTAGCCCGAGTGTCATGATACAGGCATTTGACCTGGTAGTAATACATTATTCAGGTTTAATTCACAACCTCCAACTCAGTCCTTGTATTTACTGTTCTCTGCAGGCTGGAACAGGTTTTTAAACAGTGCCTGCTAAGAATTACTGTGATAACACTTTAAGAAATGCTCCTGAGTTTAATAGTTCCTGTGACCTTGGCTAATTGAGTTAACTTTGTCATGTTCCCATTTTCTCATTGTAAATGGAAAAGTTAGCATTTTAATAGCACCTCTGAATTGTGCTGCTAGTTCCCCATTAGTTCCTAGAAAGACTGCAGATAATTTTATTTCTTTATTTTTGAAGTATACAAAGACATTTAACTTCAAGAAGTTTAGCTTCTTCAAAAAGAATTAGAGAGTTTTTTTAATACAGGAGGGTGTTTCAGAATTGAGGGATTGAAACTGTCTTCATTGAGTAGCTAGGTAAAGGGAAGAAGGAGAGACACAAAAGCAGACTTTCCTGTTGTATCTTCTTCCTTAACAGACCAGAAAATCTGGCAATTGTGTGTTAGGAGGTGATCAAAGAGAAGAAAAGGGAGAGGGAAAAATTCCTTTTGTGAATCTAAGTATACTCTAAGAAAAAGGATCTTACTCTTTTCTGCAGGTGTCAATTTTGCCATTGAGTCAACTGCGACTCATTGTGACTCTCTGAACAACAGTTGGGAACCTTGCTCTATCCTGTACCATGATCACGAGCTCCTCCATGCTCAAGCCTATTATGGGAGACACTGTGTCAGTCCATAGCCCATCTTATTGAGGGTCTTCCTCTCTGAAAAGGAATTTGTAAGAGGATGGGATCAAGTCATGTTTGTAGCTAGAGTCTGCTTTGCTCACTGTTCCTGTTTATTAATCTAGTCTCTAAAAGGTGGTCAAGCACTTGACATGTGAAAGATACATGAAATTATTTGGTTTTTTACTCATTAAACAGTATTGTCAATAAAAAAAAAAGGTGGTCAAGTTTTGTTTTGGTTTTTCAGTGTGGGTCCCTTACCAGTAGATTAAGGGAGAAAGCCAGGATTATTGTCTCAGGAACACAGTCACCTTCTGCTTTGTTTGTATTTTTATTGTGCTTTGAATGGCATTTTACATAGCAATTAATTTTCTATTTAGTCACTTCCACAGATTTTATTTTGTGGTATTAATTACAGTCCCCAAATTGTAACAGCACTCTCCCACTGCTTCCCTATGCTGACTATTTCTATGCATCCTTTTATCCTGTCCCTTCTTGTCACCTCAACTTTCTGCCTGTACAGATACTGCCCATTTGATCTTATATGATTGATTGTTCTAAGGAGTGATACTTTAGAGCCTAAAGCCTAAGAGCTTATGATTTTTAGAAAACCGCAGCCTCCAGCTAAAGCCTGCAATTTGAATCTTAACGGTAGCCTAGACACCATGTTAAATCCTTCATAACCTTCTCTGAGCTTTCAAACAGACCACCAAAGCAGCCATAACGTTACCAGAATTACTCTAGGAAATACCAATCCTTTTCTTAGGTGAAGAAATGTACATTCGGCTTCTGCTGTTTCATGAATATTTTCAAACGTAAAATAAAAGAACCCTGATACTGCAGTGATTGAGGCTCTTAGCTGCTAACACAAATGTTGGTGGTTCACATTCGGCCACTTTGTGGGAGAAGGATGTGGCAGTCTGTTTTTGTAAAAATTAGTCTTTTGAAACTTTATGGGGTAGTTCTTCCCTCTCCTGTAGGGTCACTGTTGAGTCAAAATCATCTTAGCAACAGTTAGGTTTTGGTCTAGAAAAGTAAAGTAGTGCAAAGAGTACTGTATACTTCTACCTTATTTCAGTCATTACCATATTTATATTTGCTTTGTTTATAAATGAATGTTTGTACACAAACCAAACCCATTGCCAACTGAGTCAGTTCCAACTCAAAGCAATTCTGTGGGACAAAGAAGAACCAACCGCCCCATGTTCCCAAGGATGTAAATCTTCATGGAAGTTTTCTGCCACATCTGTTCCCTGGAGAGTGGATGGTGGGCTGAATTGCCCACCTTTCACTTCACAGCTGGGCCACTTACTCGATAAACAAGGAAAGCATGAGCTTACCTGTAATCTATACTGAGCAATTTCACATTCTATCACCAACGTTAGATAGATCTTAGCAGAAAGCAAAGAATACTAAAGGTCTATCTGTGTTGCATTGAGTATTCAAAGGCATTTAATTGTGTGGATTACAATAAACTGTGTTAACCTTGAGGAGAATGGGAATCTCAGAACACTTGTCCTTATATGAAACCTATGCTTGGACCAGGAAGCAGTCCTAAGAACAAGAGCAAGGCAACACTGCGTGGTTCAAAATCAGGAGAGGAGTGCATCAGGGATGCATCCTGTCTCTGTACCTGTTCAATCTGCATGCAGAACAAATCATTCAGGAGCCTGGGTTTTATGAAGAGGAATGGAGCATCAGGATTGGAGGTAGACTAATCGACAGCCTTGCTGAAATTGAGGAGGACCTGAAGCACTTGCTACAGAAGGTCAAGGGCTGTATGTAGTCTTTAATATGGATTGAAGCTCAACATCAAGAACACAGATTCTCACCACTGGGCCAATTGGCAACACCAGGATAGATGAAGGGATTGAGGTTGTTAACAATTACAGCTTGCTTGGTTCCACAGTCAACAAACACTCTTAGCACCAGCAATCAGGAAATTGAAAGACTAATTGCACTGGGAAAATCTGGTGTCAGTGACTTCTCCAGGGTGCTGAGAAGCAACGATGTCAGTCTAGAAACTAAGGTGCACCTGATCCAGGCCATGGTCTTTGCAGTCACTTGCTATGCATCGGAGAACTGGATAATGACTAAGCTTGACAGAAGAAGAATTGATACTTGTGGTGCTGAAGAAGAGTCTTGAATATACCATGGACTGCCAAGAGAACAAACATGTCTGTCTGGAAGAGGGTGAAACCGAGTTTCTCTGTGTAGGCTAGAATTTTGAGACTCTGTCTCACATACTGTGGGCATGTGGCCAGGAGGAATGAGTCCTTGGAGAAGGACATTATGCTTGGAAGGGTCGAGGGACAGCACAGGAAAGGAAGACATCGGATGAAATGGATTGATACAGTAACTGGGGTAATTAGGGGTTGGTGTGTTGGAGTCAGTGAGACTGGCTCAGCACAGGGTAGGCTTCATAGCTGTTGTACATAGGGTCACTGTCTCAGGTGACTCCACAGCACATGACATCATCATGTTAAAAAATTTGCTTCTAGCATCTGTCTCTTTGCTAGCCTGATTGTTGTTTGGTGCCATTGACAATTGATACCTCTGAGTTGTGTTGTTGAAGAGTACCGACTGCCAAAAGAACAAACATCTATCTTGGAAAAAGTGCAGCCAGAGTGCTTCTTGGAGGCAAGGATGGCAAAGCTTTATCTCACATACTTTGGGAATGTTTGGTTGTTGCTGTTTGCTTTTGAGTCACAACCAACCCATAACTAACCCTCCAGTGGGTTTTCAGAGACAGTGAATTGCACAGGAGGGGATTGCCCA